AAAAAAAAGAGGCTTGTAGCGCACTTGCCTGGCAGGGGCCACACCGTGATCATGAAGGTGGTTTTCCCAGGGAGAAGCTCATCCATTGTACTACAGATGGGCTGACCCTTTTGATTTCCCCAAATGTGGGAACTCGACTGCATACTTAGTGGTGCTCAGGGACTGCATTTGCATTATCCAGTTAAAAAAAAATTTTTTTTAACATTTGTAGAGAAGATTTTAAAGGGTGGCTTGAGAAAACAGTGTTGTCATGAAATTGGCAAATCTGGAATCAGAAATCAGAAAGAGAAAAACATGTTTAGTATTTCTCAAGTACAAAAACCAACAAATTTTTTTAAATCAAACTTTAAGTTGAAATATTGAAGGATTCTATGGGCAAAACGTGGAACAATGCAGGAAGCATCCAAAGAGACCCAAAGGAACATGCAGAGACACTGAACCAAAAATAACTGGTCTTCATTGGCCCTTGCAGGAGGCACCATAGGATAAAAAATAAATGGAACAGAGAGAAAGGTAAAATGCGTGGAAGGCATTGGTGAAAAATAAAGCCCCAGATATGGAAAAAAATGACAACAGAAGAGAACAACAAATAGATGCGGGGCTGGAGACATGAGCTCATCTATATAAGAAATTTGGAAGCTACCTGGCCAATTGATTATAAAAGATCTATATGCATGCCCATCCCCCAAAAAAATTATGCAGAAAAATCTGGAATTTATCTAATAATACCAATAATATCACATGCAGGTTAAAATTTGCATAAGATTATTCATAATTTTGTGCAGCAGAACAGCTACAAGGGACTGCTAGAAATTCTGCTGAGTCCAGAAGAGATCTGAGAATGAGGGCCTTCCTTGTGGATGACAGAGAGGTGTTGGTCCAAAGCAGGGTGTATCAGAAAGATGTTTACTTGTGCTTTATTGGTTGTGCACACACATTCAGCTGTGTTGATCACAACAAACTATAGTAACATTTCCTATAATAGGAATTCCAGAACTTAATAGTTCTCATACAAAACTTGTACCCAGACCAAAGCGACAGAACATACAAAGGGATTAATACATGTTTAAATTCAGAGAGTGTATGAGTCAGAGTTGTATCCTTTCCACATAGTTGTACTTCCAAATGCCTGATCATAGACCTG